CGCCAGAGCGCAGGCGGGGGGGGGCCGGCTGTTGCGGCGCCGCGCGCCGGTCGCCTTGCTCCCGTGTGTGGGCGGGGGGGGGGGGGGGGGGGGGGGGGGGGGGGGGGGGGGGGGGGGGGGGCGGCGGTGCATACCCCTTGATTTTGAGATTTTTGGCTTTTTTGGACAGCAAAATATGGACAGAGACATTACATGCTCCCTGGTTTTGAGATATCAAGGGATGCATCCCCCGTACACTCCTCTGCTTTGGAGACCTCGCTACGCCCTTGTTTACAGGTCATTTATTATCACTTGAGGTATGAACATGCGGGTGTGGATACACACCAGAAGCATGAGTGAAGAGCGTATACACTGTACTTTTATTTTTTCTTTATTCCAAACTAGACCAACGCGGATTCAAACGGTCGAAGTGTTGCAGCGAAATCGAGGATTTCAAGGGCAACAAGAAATGGGTCTGTTTTGAAGACCCACAAACGAGTTCATTTCAGGCAATGACTTTAACTCCTGTTAGGAAAATTCAGAAGTCCTGATATTTTGACCATGAACTATTGGTAACTGAGTCCTTCAAAAGGAGAAAGGAAGTTCTCGATCAGATGACCCTTGAAGATGACTCTATTACAATATGGGTAGTGTTACCGTTGGGCCTCTCTTAAATGCAATGCCAAGTTGCTAATGTTACTCGTACATGACAACTCTACAATATTGTTCTTGATCATATCGATAGTAATGATGCATTACTGTGTGCAGTTCGAGTATCTTCATCTTTCAATAGTTCTCGCTTCGAACGCTTCATGGAAATGTGGATTTTTGGATGCGTATAGTGTGAGTCGATTCAGCATGTATTCGAATGATGACATTCCTCTTTCATTCTTTTCTTTCTGTTTCTTCTATATGTGATGATATAGATAACGTTTTTATCAACTCCCGGATTTATTTTAATTTCACTATGCAAATGGGAAGAATTGAATGGAAGTGACTCAAATAAGTGACGTAAAAGTAGATTATCAAATTCACTCTTATGATTGCGCGTATGTGCTAGAAAAACGATGTCTCAATCATTCGCAAAAATATCATAGAAGCTAATGATTGATCTTTTGTAAATCGATGACGCAGCAAGAATTACATCATGATCATCTTCAAAGTTTGGTAAATAATGACACATGGAACGACGAAATATTCATTTCCTACACTACAATAATGTTATATAAGGAAGACAGTTATGCGTAGAAACACTCATTCTAATTTCAAGATAATTTAACCAGCAAGTAAAAACAAAATAGGATAACGTTGTAAGTTTTCTTATTTATTTTGAAGAAACGCGTCTAATTTTCTATTGTTTATAGTTCCATTAAAAAATTAAACATGAAGACAACAATGACAGCAATTTCTGTGTTAATTTTAATTATGCTTTTTGGTTGCTTATGTTCGGTTCAAGCTGCTGCGACTGGTGTAGATAAGGGTGCAGCTGAACAAGAAGCTGCTACTGCTTTTGCTGAAAAATCAGCATGTTGTGGAGTTTGTTGGAATGGACAAATTTCAGGTTGTCCTTGCCGTTGCCAGGGCCAATTTGCATGCTGCTTCTAAATGACATCAGTCAAAAATGGTACAAAAGGGAAACCCAAAACAAGAAAAACATTCAGTCCTACTGTTTTATATTTAATCCAAATTTTTTCTCTGTATGATTTTTGTTTTACTTGAAATAAAAAAGCGTTCAGCACACTTCATATGGGATTAAAATGTGAAACACGACGGAGCCACTTCAATTGTACATAAAGATCCTCGTTAATTGCTTCCTTACATATCAGAGGCCAAAACGAATCGAAAAAATCAGGATTCGACTCGATTCGACCCACTTTCTTCGTGAGAGGATTCGCTTCGGTTCGGTTCGAGGCATTTTTCTTGATATTTGAAATTAGAGATGAATAACATCTCAGTTTTCTCTAGCTCGAAATGCGGGAAATTTAATCAGATATTAGCATGGCAAACTAATGTGCTTTGTACGTGATACACTACTACTTTAAGAAGCGATCTGTTACGTTTCTCTCTAAAGTATAGTTGACGCGTTTTACTTTAGACTTTATATGCATACTTCAGTTGTTAATTCCTTTGATTTCAAGAACAAGAACGTGTGACATCGAACGACTGCCGAGGACGAGTTACATCTATATTCTCTATTCCAGCCAAATATGCACAAAAGTACCTAATAGTGACCCTTATGTATATTAAAACTCGGCCACTTCAGAATAAAACTAGTCGATTCGAAATTAGGACAAAAAACTGAGCGGAGTAGAATGCCTTTCACTTATCGCCCAAGACTTAAGTGTTTTAGTGACTTTAGACCCGGGTATAGGTCGGGATTTCTATGGAAAAATGAAATTCTAGTAAATACTTTGATATATACCTTGATCGACTCGGGGTGGGGTGGGTGAGTGTTGGTGTGGGTGAATACGGATGAATCAAGCTTCACTCACACCCACACCCACATCCTTAAAATAGATATGCTCAGAGAAACAACCAATCAAGTTTTAGAGAAGGTGTTTTCTGTTTTAACAATGGGTATTTCTTGAGCTTGTCTTTGTCAATCAGGAGATTTATCATTTTTCCCTATAAGTTGACAAAGACAATCCTCTGGTTTCTCCTAATTAGAAGGGAAAAAGTTTTCTGTAATTTGATCAATCAAGATAAAACATAAGGTTGTTTTTGTCAAATTATAGGAAATAATGAGAAACACCATGATCGATAAAGAGACGTCTGTGGTGAACTCTGATTATATGAGAGAGAAAACTTCCTGAATTTTCATTAGCTGAGAGAGACAATCACTCAAATTCCAGAAAAATCTTTTTTTCTCCTGATAGTGAAAGTAAACCAGACGCTTGTCATTACCAGCTACTAGAAAACAATGATAAACTGACTGATCGGCAGGGTGTAGCGCAGGGGGTATCCTGGCTACAAGAAGTAGCCGACAATTTTCTAAAGCGATGCCTATCAGCAGAGCAAGAATTTGACTTTGTGAGTAGTTTTCTAACTCTGTGCTCATCTTGACGCAGTTTTTTCCCAAAGTGATGCATGAACACCTTGAACATCCTGGCTACGCCTCTTCCTGATTATAAGAGAAAAAGACCCTTTTCTGAAACTTGATTAGTTCTTTCTCTCAGGATATCCATTTTAACTTCGATTTTTCAAAGCTAAAGTGTTACAATGTGCTACTTTGACTTTTTGAAATTTAAAGTAACACTTTCACTCTAGCGTTAAAATTAAAGTGTGTTAAAGTAAAACTGCCATCTCTAGATAGTCCTCAAAAAGTTATAAAAACTATTTTTAGATAGGCTCTGAAAAGTTCTGGAGATCGCCTCTAGATAGGTCTTGAACAGCTCTTGAGACTCTTGATAAATCTCAAAAAGTTCTAGGGACTAACCCTGGAGAGGCTTCGAAAAGTTTTAGAGATCACCTCTGGATAGATCCTGAAAAGTTATAGAGATCATCTCTGAATAGGCCTTGAAAAGTTATGAGCATCATCCCTTGATAGTCCTAAAAAACTTATATGGTCTACTCCTAAGTAGGCCCTACAAATTATAAGGAGTAGTCTGAGATGCTCTAATACCTGGTCGATCAGTTCCTAGAACCGATCTGTTCCAACAGATCAGATATTCTCAAAGATTGATTTGAACAGATCCTCAGATCGGAACTATAACTGAACTGTTCAAACCCTATTATACAGACTTGATAAGAATGACGAGATCAACTTATTGTGCTCTCACTCTGACCTATGGAATGCCCTTCACGATCAAGAAAGTACTTTCAACGAAATATTTTTCGGCGACAAGCATATATAGCGATCTCTTTTTAACTCCAGCTGCTTAAGTCTATATAGGAAGAAGGGAGCCAGCGTGCCTTGACTTATAACTTGCACATGACAATATTTCTTCGAAAACTATATGGGAGTTTCACAAAATATTATTAAACCCATAAAAGAGTCATTTGCACTCATATGCGTAAATAATATCATTGTTAAGGAAAATTTCATTTTCAAATCCCTCCTCTAATGTCTACTCCCGTCGATATTATTGCCTCATGAGCATTCTCACCTATACTTCATCCATAATTT